AGCGGGCGCTTTGGGGCATATGGCGCCATGCAGGGCATCCCTCTGGTTGCCTCCCCGCCCGTGCATGCAGAAGCGGCGCCCACGCCCTTGGACGTGACCGCCTACCAACCGCCCTGGAAGTCCCTCACTGAATTCGCCCTCGCCCACGACCTGGAGAGACTCGACCCATCGCACCCTCAGTACCAGCATATGATACAACAGGTAAGTGGAAGTGTGGTTCCTCTGATAGGGTTGTTTCTGCTGTGTGGAGCTATTGGTGAGTTACGATGTGGTTATTCCTAGTAGCTTTTGGTGTGTCATGGTGAGGTTACTCCACTAGTAGCCCCTGGTGAGTCACGATGTGTTTACTCTGCTAGTATCTCTTGGTGAGTCACGGTGAGGTTACTCTGCGAATAGCCCTTGGTGAGTCACGACGTGGTTACTCTGCTCGTAGCTATTGGTGCGTCACAGTGTGGTTACTCCGCTAGTAGCTCTTAGTGAGTCACGAGGTAGCTACTCTGCTAGTATTGTTTCTGTTACTAGTAACTCTCGGTGAATTACAGTATGGTTCCTAGGATAGAACTCTTAATATCGCTGCTATTATTTAATGAATCTGAAATCGGCGGTTACTGGGCTAGCTAGCAGTGCTATTCTATTCTTTTCTATTTATTGGTGAATCATGATGACTTTGTTATTGTTTCTGTCGCTCGGATTTCCTGGTAAGTGAAGTTGTGGTCAGCGTGTCTGTATAACGCGGGGAGCAAGGATGAGGAGAGGGTGTTTTTGTAATGGTGTTTTTTTTTGTGTGTGTGTTATTGCAGTTATATTGTGGTATGGCTTCTTCGTTCTTGTTCATATTGGTATGATTATCATTTTTACCGTCATAAACTTTATCATTATTGTTGCTATTATTATTGTTATTATTATTATTATTATTATTGTTATTATTGTTATTATTGTTATTATTTTTATAATTTTCATTATCACTATTGTTATTATTATCGTCATTATTATTATTATTATTGTCATTATTATTATTATCATCGTCATTATTATTATTATTATCGTCATTATTATTGCTGTTTTGTTGTTATTGTTATTATTATTATTATTATTATCATCATTATTATCATTACTATCATTATTATCATCATTATTACTATCATTATTAATATTACTATTATTGTTATTATTATTACTATTACTGTTAATATTAATATCACTGTCGTCATTATTGATATTGTTTTTATTATTATAATTAAAATTATTATTATTATCATTATTATTATTATTATTATTATTATTATTATTATTATTATTATTATCCTTTTTATTAATATTGTTATAATAATAATAATAATGACGATAAAGATAATGATAATAGTAATCATTACTATTATTATTGTTATTGTTATTATTATTATTATTATTATTATTATTATATCATCATCATCATCATCATCATCATCATCATCATCATCATCATCATCATCATCAACATCAACATCAACATCAACATCAACATCAACATCAACATCAACATCAACATCAACATCAACATCAACATCAACATCAACATCACCGGCATTACGAAAACCTTTTTTTTATATTTGGTTTATTTTTATGCTGAAAATAAAAATAATAATAAATGTAAATATCAGTTGTTCTGACGTCATGAAGTAAATGAGAAGGTAACTATATCAGTATTTTGGAAAAGTACCTTTGATTCCCAATAAACTAATTCGGATTATTGGCATAAAACGGCGAGGTACACATACATTGAATTCTTATAAAGGTACTATAGAAGGGAAAGCATTAGAAAAAAAAAGGAAAATGAGGGTGCGTTCAAAACTACTCTAGTGATAATTGAAATTTCCTTTATACACAGCTAACTATAATTTGCATAACGGCATAAAAGATTCCATTGTTTGTCAACATTTCATTTGTGATCTTTCCACAATAGTCACCACTGGCAGAAGCAATGGACTAGTGATTTTTTTTTTTTTTTACTCAAAAATATCAGGATGGTCTGTCTTGTCTGTTAATGGTAGTGAAGAGTGGTATGATTTTTATATATTCATTTATTTATTCATTCTTTTTTTTTTAGATTAAGAGGACGAAGAAATATTTTATGTCATTTTGTTTTCTTGATATGTAAGTATGTGGGTGTGTGTACATATATATGTATTATTTATATATATATATATATATATATATATATATATGTATATATATATATATATATATATATATATATATATATATATATTTATACATATACATTCATACATATACATACATACATATACATACATACATATACATACAAACATATACATACAAACATATACATACATACATATACATATACATACATATATATATATATATATATATATATATATATATATATATATATATATATATATATATACATATATATATATATATATATATATATATATATATATATATATATATATATATATATGCCTGTATGAACAGAGACATAGATGAAATG